ATCCACATGCACAAGATAGGATTGTCGAAGAATTAAACGAAAAAATTCCAAATTTTGGTAATACAAAGTTATCAGTACAAAACTTAAGTACTCTTGACTATTTGGAGAGAACAATCAAAGAAGTGTTACGACTTTTTCCATCTGTGCCATTTATTGGCAGACAAATTTACCAACCACTCACAATCGGTAATAAAATAATTAATATATATTAATTTTAGGACTTTAAATGATCAAATAGTATTTAGTTATAATAATAATTATACTTAGAAAAATCAGTTTTAACCAAAAAATTGTCTTTAAAATTAGTTGTAATATATATAGATAGGTATTAATGTACCGACAGTTTTTCAAAATATGTAAAAAAATTCTTAAGCCCCTTAATTAAATAAATATGTTCAATACGTTTATTAATATTGTGACGTCTGATACTACACTTTCATAACTACATTTTAAAATACAATAATTGAAAAAAATTTTAAAGAACAATTTATGTGTCAACATGATCTTAATACAATACCTAGGCAGTCCATTTATTCATTAAAAAATAAACAATTCCTTTTATACTTGATTTTTAAAGCGATAGTAATTGTTGTCATAAGTTGAATAWGATTATATGTATATTATTACACACTAGATTCAGACAATCACCAATCTAAAACAGTGTGTCAGTGTCATATCTGTGCTTCGTAGAAAGCCCATTTTTTCTTATAAATATTTAACTGTTTGTATGTTATTAATATTTTCATTGTTAATAAAATATGTTTGTGCAGGTGATCACACTATTTTGCCAGGGACGTCAATTTTCATAAATGTGTTTGCTTTACACAGAAACGAAAAACATTTTGAAAATCCAAATGTATTTGATCCTGATAGATTTTTAAAGGAAAATAAAAACGAGCGACATCCATATTCCTTTATACCATTCAGTGCAGGAATGAGGAACTGCATTGGTAAGTAATAAAAGAAACATTAMAAYTTCAGTTTTACCTATATATTTATTTCGATGATAAAAAGCAAACAAAAGAAAGGCTTTATTAAAATTGTGCAGAAATCTATAAAATTCTCATAAAACAAATTGTCGTGCATTTATTGGTGTTTATTTTTAACTAATCAGACACAATATYCTAACAAAAATCGTTTTTAATTCCCCCATTTGAGTGTTGGATAAGTTYTAAAAATACTTTTTCGATATAAATATGTTTCAAAACTTGAAAAATCATTTTTCATAATGTTAAAAYTGTTATATTACTAATAGTTATTAAATAATTATAGTAATTTTTTTTGATTTAATACAATGATCAATATAGTCTGACTTATACATATTCATAATTTTTCTAAATATATTTTTTATTTTAAGAAATTCAGAACTTTGTAAATAATGATTATCTATTTCATTTATTTACGTGTAATTCACTATATAGTTATTTTTACGTTTTGGTTTTTTGAACAATTTTTTTACTTAATTGTGTATAATATTATATTCTCATAACTAACAAAAACAATTCA